TAAAAGGGAAGGGGAAAGTATTTTGCAGTCATTCCAATTGGTTCGAAACCAACAGAGCCTCATTGATGTTTTGCTTTACCGAGCAGAACATTCAAATGTTCAAGGCTGTTTCAGCTTTGTCACAGAACAGTTCTAGATTTTATTTTACCAGTTCAAACTTTACAATTGGTACTATTTTTTTTTTCCTTATAAAAATGTATTGCTGGTAATATTTTTAAAAAAAAATTTGTATAAAAACATATTGATGGCAATTTTTTTTTACTATGAAAATGTATCACTGGCACCTTCACTATAAAAATGTATTTCTACACTCTCACAGTGTTTTGACCAAAGTTTGGAGGTTCACTATTTGCCCATAGCTGGGACCCTAATAATTGCTACCACCCCAGGTCCGGGTAGACCTGGGAACAACAGCAATTAAGAGGTGGTTTCATGCTCCTTTAAAACCTCCCAATATGACGCTTTGCTGCTGGATGTAGTTATATGGTCAGACCGAAGACGAGAAAATATAAATATCAAACAGGTGAAGAGGTTCAAGTATCTGGGAAGCGTTTTGACAAAAGATGGAAAATGTGACACCAAGATCAGAATGCATATTGGGCTACTAAAAGTAATGTTTCAAAAGTTATGCAAGGTGCTGAAAAATGGAAATATTTTGTGAGAAACAATGAAAACTGCACTAGATTAATATCTTATATTCATCCTCAACAGTGAATGCTGGACAATTTTCACATGGATGAAAAAATACTAGGGGCAGTATTAATGTGGTTCTACAGAATGATACTAAAAATTCTATGGACAAAGTGAGTAAGTAACAAGGAAGTCTTAAATAAAGTGGCATCAGAAAGAACATTTGTACTCTGTATCAGGATGAGTTAGCTGAAATTCCTTTGACACATAAAAAGGAAGGCTTGGAAAATTTAAACCTCACAAGGCATATTCATTTCAAGAGAAATAGGGGATATCAGCAAGCCACTTACCTGATGAGCTTGTGTGAATGTATGGTGGAATGGGAGACAGGAACCTTAACATGGAGAGAAAAAGTACTATGAGCCACATCAGATGTTGAGAGCCATGATAGCCTCTGTCCTGAAGTGACATCATACCACAAAGCAGATGATTTTTATAACATTGTTGGTTCTTTGTATTTTATCAAGGATCTCTAAATATATATAGCAGGAGAAACAGACTAGATGTGGCAACAATATTCAGGAGAAACAGACTAGATGTAGCAACAATATTCAGGAGAAACAGACCAGATGTGGCAACAATATTCAGTGCATGGATGAATGTTAGACTTATAAATATACAAGATAGATTCTGGCAAGAGAAATTGTCCAGCATGACACAGTGAACCAACTTTCCTAGCCTAGTACAACTAGCAGACCTAGCCATTGATTCAATGTAATTTTTCCATTTCATATCAGTGGGAAACATTAGTCCAAGATGGCACAATGAGTCATTCACTTGAAAGTTATCATCAGCTATATTCTCCAGTGAGTTTGCTTATCTTGTTATCTTGTTCCATAGTGTTATATGCATAATTTTTCTTTCATATATATATATATATATATATATATATATATTTACTTTGTTACTAAAACATCGAAAACCAAAAAGAAGAAATAAATATATAAAATAAAAATAAATAAAAAAACAAGTAAAATAACCCAAATAAATAAATAAATAAACAAACAAACCACTCCCGCCAAAATAACTGTCAGAATAGACTACCCACAATGCACCACTGACCCATATATATAGATAGTCGAGAAAAACCCAACATACATGGACTGAAAATTGCATCTAGCATGAAACAGCCTTTTGTCTCTGAGTGTTGACTTCAATGTTCACACACACACACACACACACACACACACATATATATATATATATATATATATATATATATATATATGTGTGTTGTGTATTTGGGCAGCAGTCCCCTTTTTTATACAAGTTTCATTAAAAATGACTGACAATGTACTGCGATTAAGTTTTTTTATTTAATTTTTCATGTGTTCTTGTACTTTTCTTCTTTCATTATATTGTATATACTGCAACATGCCTAACAAGAAGACTCATGTTATATCCCTCTGACCATAGCTCAATTAAGTCTCATTTAAATACACATGGAGACCTACCAAACTCCATCTGCAACATACTTGTTGATAATACAAATCCACGTGTAAAAAAAAAAAAAAAGACTAAAAATAATAGAAGCATTATTAATAAAAAAGAAAAAGCCAACAGTCTCAATAGCATCAACTATGAACACATCCACAATGTGCTGACTGTGTTTGGAAAATAAAATATTCCTATAATTCTAAATATTTAGATGAAACAATCCATACATTCAGTTAAAAGTAAAAATAAAATCATCCTTGATAATGGCTAAAAGTATAGCTGTAAACAATTGGATATACAGAACATTCGAACAATTTCTACATAATTTATGTCCAGAAACGAAGAAAATTATAAGAACATCAGAAAAATTAAATAAAAAGAAAACTTAACCACAATACTTAATATTAATTATTATTGATAATGTTAATAATAGATATCAATAATAATTAATATCACAGCTATTATCACTACCAGCATAATCACAACCGTCAACAACACACAAGCAATTAGTATTGAAAATACAAACATCATCATCATCATCACCATGACCACAAACAGAACCCATCTTAACCAAAGTGGTGGTTAAAAAGACCAGACCAATGATAGTTTAAGTGCACGTCTACACACATGTATGTGTGTGTGAGTGTGAGGAAGTATAAGTTTCTCTGATGGCCCATGCAGTATATTTGAAAAGCATCAAGAACATCTCTACACGCTCCTTGTTGAAACGAACATTGCCACACATAAAAAGCTAAGGTTCTGACACCAAAATAGAATTACAACTGTGTATGTATGTATGCTCTAATGCATGGATATCTATCTGTGCCTAGCCTTGAATTGCTTATGTGGATGTGTTGGTGTAAACTAAAATGTATACACCTGTATGTATGTGTCTCTGTGTATGATCGCACAGCCCCAAACAAACACAGGCGTATATTGCCCCACCTGCCACCAAACAAGCATAAACAGATCAAATTTAAAAAAAATAAACCAGTTTGTCTGATGATCACAAAAGCTTGAAACCCAGCATCACAATCTCATATCCATACAACTCATATATATATTTTCCTACTGGACTTGATCTTTCTGTATGACCATTAGTAGTTTAGCCCACCCACAGGGAGTTTTCTTTGTCTAATTACCTTTTCCCTTGTGACCGTGTAAATATACACAGGTTTTTTTAAATGAAATTATTTTTTTTCACCCCCTGTGATGCTTGTGGGTGATTTGTGGTTACGAGTTATATAAAACTCATCTCTCCCTTCTTCCATTTGTGCAAGTTATCTGATGATCAATCAGGTGAGTGTGACACTCAGGTTATGACTAGGGACATCCTTTCATGGGATTTAATGTTTAACTCTGTCTCGGCAATTTAGGTTTCAAGCACTTTACGTGATTACGTAGGTTTACTTATATATATATATATATATATATATATATATATATATATTTGAATAAAAAACAGACCACTTTAAGGTACCATGTAATAAATTATTTCACCACAGCCCTTTTAAAGGGCTCTGGATCATCAGACTTTTATTTTTAGGGTTTGATCATCAGACTTTACTTAAGTAAAGTCTGATGATCCAGAGCCTTTAAAAGGGCTGTGGTGAAATAATTTATTACATGGTACCTTAAAGTGGTCTGTTTTTTATTCAAACATATTTGCTCTGAATTTACATTGAGCTCTCTGGATATCATCCTCCTTGGGTCTACCCATACGGATTACCTAGTTTTGCATAAACTAAATATATATATATATATATATATATATATATATATAGTGTTCAGTTATACCTGACTTCTTGGTATCATCTGGGATTTTTTTTAAACTCTGTGTCTAGCTTGTAGGTATGGTTCTTAGGGAGATATCTTTAAAATTCCTGTCCTCGCCCAAATTACTAAATGAGTAAATATCAGTAAAAAAAAAAAAAATCCTATCTTGGTCAGGATGAGAATTTTTCAGCACTTTTTCTTATATTACTCACTAAAACTGCTTTAGATATTACACACAATTTTTGGTCATATTTGTCTGCTCTTGTAAGCAGTTTGTTGAGAGCTGTTTTGCAATGGAAAGCTACCCTGATGTTAGTGACAAATCTTTTAGAAATTTCTGCTGGCCCTCCACCTGTCATCTTATATAATGTCAGCTCACTGTTGTCTTAGAGCTAGCATCCTCCGTTTGAAGGTCCCAGTGTTATTTGGAGGAAGAGCTTTCTTAACAAGTGTCACGATAGGTTATCAGGTACACAGCTGATAAGTTCAGCTTATACATTGAAAGCAGTGGACGGATTGAACTTTTGATCCAGAAAAGTTCTCTGGAGTGTATCCGACTTTCGTTTTGATCACCATTTTACTTGCTGTGTTCACCTGTTTTCTGCAGATGAATGTTGCATTTACTAATCTCCACAGACTTTTAAATGGAAGTTCGTTTTACTTGGATTGTGTATATTCTTACTTATCCATTTATTTACCATGTCCAGTATCTGTAATGAAGTATTGTTTTACATTATAGATGTGAACATGAGATCCTGCCATAGAGCACATTTTTCCGCTCGTGCACTGGCCATTATATGTAATACAGACAATTAAAAAAAAACAGAACAGGGCGTATACTCAATCACGTGTCCACTGAAATAACTTTTGAAGTAATAAAAATTTTGGATTGAAACTTCATTAATTCTTTAGAAATTTCTTTGTTTACATTTCAGATATGAAATCAAGCGAATATAGGCTTTCAATACAATCTGAACTAGGAGATATGTACTGATTAAAAGGATAAATGAAACCTTGCTGGGTTGTGGTTCTCTGACTGAGTGGTCTAAAATACGCCAGATCAGATGATGGTATCTTCTACAAGAGGGGCTTCATCACATTGAAGCACCGGTCTCTGTATGATCACCCAAGTTAAGCAACTTCAAGCCTGGTCAGTATCTGCATGGGTAACCAGTTGGGAATACCAGGTGCTGTAAGCTTGGATATGCAGGTGGTGTAATGCATAATGGCTAGGAATTATTAATCAGAGAGTGGAGTTCCAATTCCAGTTGGGTTCATTATATTCACTTGCACACAAATACCCTTGGGAAAGGTATGAATCTACCCTTTTCCCTCCCTCCAGCAATAGGTTAATTAGCAAGAATTGTATCATAAAAATCAATATCCCCCACCACCACCACTGAAATTTATCTCTGTAAGTGAATGCTTGTAACACAGATATTAAATTATCATCATCTCAAAAAAAAAAAAATTCTTAAAATCTAAAAGTATTTTCTGTCTTTAAATAACCTGCAAAGGGTTGACAGGCTGTACAAAATCAATCAGTCAGCCTACAAAAGGGGACAGAGGTTTGAAACTTTCTGGAGAGCACATTTCCTTTTATAAAGTTTTCTCAAGTATACAGGCCGGTAAACATGAGGCGTCTAATCAAATGTCAGTATCCACTGGAAATAGAATTTGAAGTAATTAAAATCCTGCATTAAAATTGAATCCATAAAGTTAAATTTTATTCAAATTCTGACTTTGTCAACTACAGTCAGTTAATAAGCATGTGAACAGCCTTGGGTTCCTCATCCAGAACATGCCTCTTACACTGTCACCTGTGATGACTGAGACTGCCATTCCTACTGCAAGGGTAGGTGTTTATATATCTATTACTATCATGTTTGACCCATCACAAGGGTCTGCACTCAAAAGCTAGAAGGTCATATAAGGTCAGTCTTATACCTGGCTTCCTGGATGGCCTAGTGTGACATTGCGTTCAAAGTCTATGCTAGCATGACATGTGCTACATAACCTTTGTAAGAACTGAAGTGATGGCCTCTTTATATTGTCAACCAAACTGTCTTACATATGAAGAAGTAATAAACAGGGATGCTTTTAAAAAATAAGACACTCAAAGTCCAAACTTCCATTCACTAATGTCTAAAGCAGTGGTTTTCAACCTTTTTGCTGGAGCGGAACCACAAGGAAACATTCCAGTGGCTTGAGGAATTCCTGCAATAAATTGTCTTATGCAAAAACAAGCTTTCAATTATTAAAATAAAAATACTCATCTTCAGATTTATTTACAAAAACATAGAAAGACAAACTGTAAAAATATTGTATACATACATATGCAATTTTAATCTTGCTTCTACGGTTATTACACATGTACCTAAACACACATATCTGCACAGGAGAATTAAAAATTACTGTCAATCATAGTACCTGTGTAACTTCTTGCAGAACCCTGGTTGAAAACCACTGGTCTAGAGGCTAAGAATGGAACAATTGGGATTCCTTAGAGATGGGAAGCAAGTGTTAGTTACAATAATGTGTAGAGGGCGAAATGAACTCAAGGTGCAGATTTTACAAAAGGGGGGCATCAATTTTCATTATTATTTGTTAATATTTTATATACTGATCTAAATATAACAGATATTTTTCTTTGTTTACCATGCAATTTTTAAAAAGGTTGGTTTGAGTTAGGATTAGTTCTATCTACAAGTTGAAATAAATATTACTTCAGTGCACACTGTAGTTCATGTATATGGCTTTGTTTTAAGTAGAAGAAATCCAAAGCAAGGGCTTCCTTGGCCACCAGCATTCTTTTTTAATTAGTATAGTAGGGCCTCAGTATTCAAAGCCCACCAAATACAGCTTCACTTATGCTCGGTTTGTTTAGCAAAACAATCTCCTTGAAAACTTACAATAAATTCAAACTACCAGATTTTAGAAAGTAAATGTTTTACGAGAAAAATATGGAAACAAATACGAGTTATATTTAGTGAAATATTATTATTTATCATATATTATTATATTTAGTGAAATATTATTATATTATAAGATTATATTATTATTATTTTATTTATTGAAATATTATATTAATATATATATTACTTTCATTATTTACATTATTCAGACTATTGTCCTCATCTTTGTCGCCATATTTATCACAACGTTTTGGCCGTTGTACACTCCTGCCTTCTTCAGGTGGTTGAAATGTCAAACTGAACCTTTTATTTCGCTCACTGCGGTAGACTGTTCTAGATCCACGTGCCATGTTTAATGGATGTCAGTTATCAGTTATCTCCTGTTAATTCCCCTCTCTCCATCACCTTAACCTTGAGGACATTTGGGTATGAATTTCTGGGACACATGGCACAGTGGATAAAGGTGTTGGTTAGATCCAGCGACAGGACCCAAAGAGTGTGAGTTCAATACCCGGTTAAGGCAGTGGAGAACTTTCAGAGGAATATTCTGTCTCTTATGAAATGTTCTCGTGACTGAAACAAATGAAAATCTCTAGCTGTTAAATCTGGCAAGTATTGAGAACATGAAGAACCTTCCTTATTAATGATTTTATTTTATAGTGCTTGCCATTACATTTTCATGTTTGGAAATAACACCTTTAATGTTTACCGAAAAAGGACACTTTGAATGTGGTGCTTTGTTTACCTGTTAAAATTGCTAGTAATAAACATCTGCAGTGATTGTCTTTTGAGATTCCACCAGGCACAAAGCAAGGACTTTTATGGATGGAGTCCTTGCTTTGGATGTTGCCACTGGTTTTTAATTGTCATAATTACTGTCTTTGTCTTTTTGCTCATATTTCATGGCTGTGAAATATGTAATTACTTGCTAAGCATGATATTTTACAAAAATTTTCAAAAGAGCAAAATATAAAAATAATAAAGACGCACAGACAGACATGAGTCTTTAATGATAATAATAATAATAATGATGATATTTTTAAAATTACAAAATAATAAAATAGAATCGGTTTAAATGTCATGGAAATTATCACAGTCTGAGTCACTAGATCCCTACGGTAAAAAAATTCAAATTAATTTTTGAAATATATAAAAAATGCTTTTGTTCATTGACTGCCGAAATGTCTTTGCTGAATGTATTTCAGATTAACCACTTTTTTTTTTTTTTTTTTTTAAACATGTGGTTTCATGGTTAAGTCTAACTTATTTTGTACACTTTTTAAAGTAGGGTTTTGAATTCCTGGGGAAGATTAACCACTTTTTTTTTCTTTTTTTTTTTAATTAATGATGTTCACTCTAGTTAGAATGGTGGAGTAATGGATAGAGGCTCAGATTTAGAAGTTTGAATTCCACTTGATTACATTCACTTACATGCTAATACCCTGGGGAAAGGTATGAATCCTCTTCTTCTCCCACCAGCTATAGGTAAATAGCAGGACAGACTGGGTTCTATAGCCTTGGATGGCAACTGGTCTACTGCAGAAAGAAATGGCAACCTACTGCAGGGAAAAAATATCTGCCTCATCAGTCATGTATAGAAAGATACATGATCGCCTAAGCGTGTATCATGCATGGCACATGACTGACTGTTCACTCTGTACAAGGCCCAAAAGCCACTCGAGTGTTACAGACACAGTTTATGGGGAAGATAACATTTAAACCATGATTGATTGTAGTGATTAGGGAAGCATCGGCTTGGCAGTCAGTTCGACAAAGCTGCAGTTCATGGGAAGAAGCTCCTCTCATGGATAATGGAAGCTTATTGTGTTTACAGACCTTAGGAAAATGTTTATGAATAAGAAAAAGTTTTCATTTGAAGGTCAGTTTGCTAAACTTGCCTAGTTCTCTACTTCCCTCTTGGCTACCCCAAACTTGTGTATTGTACTCTTTTAATATGCAAATGCAACACTGAAAAAATACTCTTGAGTACTTGAAATAATCTTGAAGTTTTTTATTTTTTTTATTTATTTTTTTGTTGCTTAATTTGCCAAAAAAGTTTGTCAGCTATTCATGATCTTTTTCAATTTTTACTCCATTTTCTTATTTCTTTTTATCTCATTCATTGTCACTTCATTCTATCTGTATTATTTCTCTCCCTCCCTCTTTATTCTTTTTTTCATCTCTATTCTTCTCTCTCTCCTTTTTATCTTTACCCCCTTCATCTCTCCTCTATTTCTCTCCCTCTGCTTTCTTACTTGCTCTATCTCATTTCTTGCTCCCCCTACTCTGCTCTGTTTCACCTGCTTTTTTTCTACTCTCCCTTCCTCCTTTCCCGCCCTTTTTTGCTCTCCTTGCTCTTCCTTTCTTACTCCTTTTTTCTTATCCTTTCTTTCTGTAAATATCTCCACCTCCCTCTCACTTACTTTCCATATCTTTTTTTTTTTTTTCTCTCCCTCTTTTCCCTTCAACATTCACTCAGTGATACCAGGTAAACTGTATTGCCTGTATTCTCTTGGGTGGATCAGAATTGCTCAAATTTGATCTAAATGATTCTAGCCTGAACTTTTGCAGGTCAGCTGTCATAATTCCAGAAGACAATTTCATAGAGTGCTGTTATTATGTTCAGGGCAAACGATACTTTTATTCTTTGAGTGTTTCAACCTGGAAAGGTTAGGAAAAAGTAAGTCACTAAAAGAGATCTCATTTGAAATGAGTTGCTACAAGAGACACAGATTTTACAAGTCCACAAATAAATTGGGAATAATTATTTTTTGGCTCAAAATTCTGTCTTTTCTAATGACATCACTTATATAGGAAATTCACTAAAATAGACTCTAAGATCGCTTTCATGTTGTAATTTTTGGCAAGTCTGGTTTTTTATTAAGATCTGAAGGTAGTGTAACAGTTGGCGGTTTAGAATAATAAATTAGCGAGCCAAGTTCAAATTACAGCCAAGATCATTACATTCACTTTCCACACAAATACACTTGAGAATGTCATGAATCTATCTCTTTCCTACTGCCATCTATGGGTTAAATAGCAGGGTAAACTGAGCTGGTTGGCAACCAATGTATGAGATGGACAACTCTGAATTCAGAACCATAACACTTGGCTACCTGAAGCTGTACAAAGATGGTTAAACAGGAAGGACAGATGTAGAGGAATAAGTGTGAAGAAAGTGAAGAAACACAACTCTCCAAATTTTAAATAAATTTTTTTAATTGGGTATTTTTTCTTTCAAGTTGAAAGAAACAAATCACAAAGATCCTCGCAAAATAAAAT